CCCAGCGGATTTTCTATTAAAAGTTTACAAACAGTTATGTGGGACCTGATTTCACACGCACGCGCGCGCGCGCGCTTAGTTTGAACTAAAACCGTAGTTCCAACAATCTCAGAACAGCGCGATGACTTATTACCAAGGCTACGTGAAAGGGAAGGCGAACCAGTGTGAAAGGACGCAACGCATGGCGACCTGTCTGTTACGAGTAATTTCGTGACTATCTCAGTATAAAATCCCAGTTGCTCGTGGCTGACTGACAGTCATTGTATAACCATAATAGCTCAGGTATTCATGGCTGACAGCTCGACATGTATTGTGTCCTTTCACATTAGCTCGACTTTCCTGCACCCCTGGAAATAAGTTGTCGCGTTTTGCTCCGTTCTTGTTTGGGACTAAATGCTGGTTTTCATGAAACCTACGCCAGCTGACTATGTGCAGGTATTTTTCACGCTGTTGCGTTTTAATTCGTCTCCTGCGGCCGCACCCGCGCGGCGGTCGGTCGGTCGGTCGTTGCAGACTTCCAGTGGACGCTTGAGATCAGAGGTCATAGACATCACCCGCGCTGTATGCAGCAGCTGACTGAGCGTAGACTCTGGCCGTGTTTGTGCCATGGATGGCATCCGGGAGTCAAATGGCGTGGTTTTTCCAAGCTGTCAGCAGCTGGATATGCCGCGGCCAGCCAGCGTCAGTTAAATCAGTTAGACGCTCTCGTTGGAAGCCTATGTCGGTAGTGTCTGATATATCAAAAATGCAATTACGTGATGTTTCCAGTCGAGTGATTAGTGACGCAGACCATCCCAGCAGTGTGTCAAATTGAGCACCTTTGGTCATATGTGACCTAGTTGGCACCGGCATGTTGTCAAGTTTGGTCACGTGCTGCTGGCTTTTGTTAGCCTCCATGCACGTTGGAAGATTTTGTGTTTCGAGCTTTTATGTATCATTTGATTTTAAAGGGGCGGGTTTCCGTTCCCGTTCTGCCAGGGTCAAGGATCTTCTCTGGCATTCCAGTCCAATTGTTGGAGAGCGAGCAGAGAGCAGAGCAGAGATTGCAGACTGCAGTTGCGATGCCAGATTACGAACTCAAACTCGTCCGCGTAGGCAGGCCTTAACACCATACCCCTGCTACCTGACAGTCCATGCCATGAACTGGTAGCTCATGGAGCTATACAGTTAGTAGTGCGCCAACAGTGTCACCACTTTGCAGTCAAAAATATGCAATGTTTCGCGGCAACATGATGCTGTTGCCAGCTGACTTGCGCCTGGAGTCCCTAAAGATTCCAAGATCCCGTCCAAAGATCCCAAAAACACCCTTCCACCGATGGGATCCAGCCACATGTCTTATTCCAGTCCAGGATACGGAATGGGGCCTATTCCTGCACGGAACTGCAAGTTGATCGTCAACGTCTGGTGTAAATTTGGGAAGTTCAGAAATATATGTGCTGGTAAGATGCGGTTACCAGCGTTACGTAGTTTCTATTTTGTTGCTGCTCCAAGTGGGGATGACAGGCGTCTCCCAGACAAAACCTGTCAGGGATGACAGGCGTCTACCAGACAAAGCCTGTCAGGGATGATAGGCGTCTCCCAGACAAAACCTGTCATGGGTCTTACCAGGTAAGATTGGGTGAAAAGCCACGTTGGGACTTCCACGGGCCCAGCAGCAGTGGTTCAGGTTGGAAAGGAGTGGTTCAGCCATCTCAGCCAAGGTATATTTCCCATATTGTCTAACATTATCTTATGAGCAATAAGCATTAGCAGGTATTACCTTGCAGTTGGTTAAAGAGACTGGGCGGCCTTAACAATTTCATGATTTATTCCCGAAAACAGACAGGAAGAAAGCCCCGATTCCAAAATGCGGGTTTTTTCAAGCCCAACGAATGCCTGACACTTGAAATATTGTCACTTCCGCGCTTCGTTGTTGGCATCGATGCTACGGACTTTCGTTGTCATAACGAAAACGCCTCCAGGTCGTACTTGCATCCTGTAGAGCCCATGTGGCTTCAAAACCTTGCAGAAATGTTACAAGGTTAACAGGACATACCTGGCAAAAGGACATCTCACAAATGAGGAAACTGTCGCGGTTGCCTACATGTGGAAGTCCAGATAGTTCTGGCAGGCCCAATCCGTTTCATCTCAGCACCCGGCGTGGTGTACGGTTCACCATGCAATTGAACGCCATAGAACTATTCCTACGCCCTGCAGCTGGCTCCTGCCCGCCCTTCACAGCACACCACCTGCACCGTGCATTTATCAAACAGCCGCAGCCGGCCTCGGCTCGGCCCAGATCTCAGATCGCTCTCATGTCGCCGGCGTTGTGAACTTGTGTTCGCCGGGAACAAAACACTTGGCAGGAGCTCCCGTATCCATCTCTACATTGTTCACCGTAGTGACTGTGGCGTTGGATGTCTTTGTTGGCGTTATCAATGGACCCCGTTGGACGACCTCGTCACACGAAGATGACAGGCGACCTTGCCAGTGGCTTGCTGTGCTGCCGTGCCAGTGGATCGGTCTGATCTCAAGTGTCGTGGAGCCTTGTCAGTGGCTTGCTGTGCTGCCGTGCCAGTGGATCGGGCTGATATCAAGCGTCGAGGAGCCTTGTCAGTGGCTTGCTGTGCTGCCGTGCCAGTGGATCGGGCTGATATCAAGCGTCGTGGAGCCTTGCGGCTGTCCTGACAACTCGCGGCGGTGGCGGTTCCGCGCCATGCACCAGCGCAGCCGCACCGCCCAAGGACTGGCGGGCAGGGCCGGCGCCGCACCGCTGTGGCGCTGCGGCGCGCTGGCTGGCACGGAGAGCGGGACGGCCCGGCCGGCGCAGGCCGCGTCTCTCCCGCCACCGAGGGGGGGGGGGGGAGGCACCCGCTCGGCGGGCCGGTTTTTGCTCGGCTCGGCAACGTCCGCTCATTGCCAGCATTGAGGAAGCTGGCAGGGAGTGCCGGACGAGTGCCGTGCGCTGCCGCGTGGTCCTGTCTGACCTGACCCCGGACACAGCCCTAGCTGGGAAAGACAGTGGGCGTGTAACCCTGTGTTGTCCTACCTGACCTGACCCCAGACACGACCCCAGCTGGGCGAAATAGGCGGTGTGTGACCCTGCACTGTTCTGCCTGACCTGACCCCGAACCCAGCTGGGCGGAATAGGCGGTGTGTGACCGTGCACTGTTCTGCCTGACCTAACCTCGAACACGGCCCCAGCTGGGTGAGACAGGGGGCGTGTGACCCTGCGCTGTTCTGCCTGACCTGACCCCGGACACAGCCCCAGCTGGGCGAAATAGGCGGTGTGTAACCCTGCACTGTCCTGTCCTCCCCGACCCTTCCCTGCAATGGAACCTATTGCGTAAGATAGGCGGCGTGGCATGTTGCAGGCGATGCGCGCTACATTGGCCGACAATTGGCGCCGCCTATCCGTGGACTGAGTTGTACCGGACAACACTAGCGCCGCCTATCCCCACACAGAAATCGTTCTGAGCACCGGAGTAGTACGCCCCCCCCCCCCCTCCCCCAATGTGATCCCAGGGTTGGACGAACCGACGTTGGGTACATCGATAGTGCTTAAACGTGTGCCGGGTACGTCGAGTGCTGAACTTAAGCAGTGCTTTTAACGTTACGTCGATAGTGCTTAACCGTCAGCACACATATCGTTGTTGGATACTCGAATTGCGAAGAGTGTGCGCCGCTGTGGCGCGCGGCATGTGCACATCTTAGTCTTGACTAGTGCAGGAACTAGTGCGCCACATTATTTGCGCGCACCTACACATGTCCAGCCGAGGAGCGGCACGGACTGCGTGACAATGATGTTGTCAGGGCCTGCGCTGAGAAGCGGAGGGCACAAGCGGATTGTGGGAGCACCTACGAAAAGTCCGTCTGGGGAACATAGCTGTATATCAGAATGGATTAAGGTCCCTTTTTCGACATTGTTAGTTATGCTGGTAATAACCGGCCTCCAGTATATAAGGAAGCTCTGAACGAAATGAGACATTACATAATCACCGCAATGTGTTGTGCAAATACTCGACACCTGTGGTAGTGCTCCAGGCCATGCTAGCGACCATGAGCGCTGCTGGACGCGAGGCCGCCTGTGCTCTGCTGCTCTTTCGTCACATCTTGACAAGATGACGGCCGACATCTTGTTCAGGGTTTTTCATACGAGCGGTTACATAAGCACTTTGCGAGTCGTCTCACTGATGCGGCGTGGTGCTAAGTATTGCCAGTGATCGCAGAAATGGATGTTTGTTTTGGCGGCATTAGTAGAGTGAGTTATTTATTTGGGCATGGGTGCGTTGGCTGTGGTAGTAATTTTGTTCCCAATGTGACTTGGGGCTCCTGTTTGTGTAGCTCAGTGGCTTCAGTCCCCGAATGTGGTGCCCTGGTACCAGAGCTCAACTCTACGAATGGTTCATGACTTATGTGATCAGCCCATCCTCCAGCTCTCAGGGTCACCGTGACGTGGCTTACCCACCGCTGCTCTGATCACCACTCTAAACACCGTGACGTGGCTTACCCACCGCTGCCCTGACCACCACTCTAAACCCCGTGACGTGGCTTACCGACCGCTGCCCTGATCACCACTCTAAACCCCGTGACGTGGCTTACCCACCGCTGCCCTAATCACCACTCTAAACAGGGGTGTGGCAATGGTGGGAGGTGTAGTAGCGTCCCCCTTTATGTGATTAAATCAAACGTTGAATTCCCAACTCGGAAAAACAACGCCTAGCTCCATGGCCTTGCATGGGCGACATGATTTCAGAATGCACTTCCCTCCATCTTTCTGTGAGCTGCCGCGCCCACCACGTCGGCGCGCGCTTACCGGTGGGTGAGGCGGGCTGTTCAGCTGGCCGGGCGGTGCGGCCCCCGGCGGCACGGCCTGCCAGGTGTCACGTGCCGGCGCGGCCGGCCGGCCGGCGGCGCCACATCGGCTCACGTTCGGACGGCGGCGGCGGCGGCGCGCGCGCGCCGATGGCGGGTCTCGCAGCGGCCGGACGCCGCTGACCCGGGTCCGCTGATCGTTACAGTGAACAGCGAGGCTAACTCTCGGCGCATCGCCATCGTGGAGAGCTGCTTCGGCAGCTCCGGCCAGCCGCTGGCCGTGCCCGGTCGCGTTCTCGTCGGCGAGGGCGTGCTCACCAAGATGTGCCGCAAGAAGCCTAAGCCGCGCCAGTTCTTCCTCTGCAACGACATTCTGATCTACGGCAACATCGTCATCAACAAAAAGAAGGTTGGTGGGGCGGGAGGTGGCGTCCGGGCCGTCTGCTGGTGACCGCTGCGGCTGCAGGTGTCGTCCCGTCAAAGCGCGGCCCGCGAACGGCCGGCGGTGGCGCGTACAGCGCGGCCCGCGAACGGCCGGCGGTGGCGCGTACAGCGCGGCCCGCCGCCGGGTGCAGTCGAAACGTCCCAAACCCCAAACAGAAGAGCCCACTCCTATGGGCCGTGCGTGTAGCTCGGAGAGCGGGGGGGGGGGGGGCGTAGCTCACCGCACGCTTTTGCTCGCAAAGTCCGTGCGAGCAGTGATAGCTGCAGAAAGATACTGGCCTGATGCTTTTCTCACTTTGAGCTGATAAACTGGCCTGTCTGCGGCTGTGGTGTGCAGAAAGGCGCTCGACACCGCAGCTGATAGCGGTGCCTGCTGGCTGTCGTGTATGCTTGGAGCCTCACGCGCCTGGAGTACCTAAGTTATGCCCCGCTGACATCTGGATGACAGCTGTTTACCAGTGTGTTCAAGCTGCCTCCCCATTACCGACGTCATGATATAAACAGGCGTGTTAAGGGCGCGACCATCGAGATGGCCCGCGGCCGTTTTAATCCGGTAAGGACCCCGTTGCCGAATATCTGGTATTCTGCATGCTGTTTGTTGCCCCCGGACCGGGTTACAGCCTTGAACTGTGGTCCGGGACATATACAGCTCGGGCAGGCTCGTCCGTCGTGTTGTGCACGCGTTGCGAGCCACATGCCCGGCTTGCATGTTGTCAGATGCGGAGTGTTTGTACCGCGAAGTACGCAACATTTATGTTGCAAGATACGCAGCGCGCATCCAGGCAGATACACGGCGTATGTCCCGCCAGATGCGCAGCTTGCCGTTGGCCTGACGAACGGCCTGTGTGGAAGCGTGTGGTCTGCGAGATGCATGGCGTGTAACCGGTCAGGTAGGCAGGGCACGCGTCGCCAGATGAGCGCCATGCACAAGCGTGGCGCCCTTCAGGAACGGCCGTGCGAGCCGCCTGGTCTGTCTGGCGGCCAGCCACGGCTACCTATGGCGTCGTTCCGGTCTGTGCGCTGAACCAGCAGGCTCTGTGAGTGCAGGCGCCCTGCCCGGAGTCAGTTCTGTGCTAGGCTCTACACGTTGTCACATTTGTCGCACCGGTCGGCCATTTTGTCACGTATGGAGGGCTGCTGGACCGGACAGCGGCCGCCTCGCCGCGTAGGTCGCCTCAGCTGCACTTGAGACGGGGACCGGTCGGTGTACATACACGGGTCTGCTCTGCCGTCACCTTATCCGGAGCGTGGTCCTGTGCCATTGGACGCGCTGCTGACCACGTGACCGGCCAGCTCTTCCAGAATGGGGCGCGATACCCGGGCTGTGTGCATGTTATGTATATCAGATACCGCCGCCCGCGGCACATGCCATGGGGATCGGGTGTCTGCACGAGCAGTGCACGTCATCGGTCCACGCTCCCTGGACCCTTGTGGCTTCACCTGTACAGTCAAACATGCCAGCAGCTTCCTGCGCTCGGCACCGGTGAACGTTGTGGTCAGGTCAGCTCAGTGTCGATTATGTGCACGGATGCAGGTCAGCGCTAAACAGCACTCTTAAATCTTTGAAGCATACACGAGGCGTGGAAGATACTTGGCTTAGGTTTATACATTGATTTCGCCCTTCCTGTGTGTCGCAGACCAAAGCTGCGCCATTGAATTCGGCGAATGGTGTCACAAAGCACTATTAAGCGATCTCGTGTCCATGCTTCAGGATTTCTGAGCTGCTCGTGTTTTGTCCGTCAGCCGTTGTGGTCACGGGCTTGTCACGGGCTTGAAATCGAACTTTACCGTTACAAAAAAAACATTGTTGCGTCGGTGGGCCGCCCCCTCGGAGCTGGCCCGGCAGCCATGCCAGTCAGGTGGGTACAGTGAGCAGAATGTGGGGTCCCGTTACCGGCTCCGGTTCTCCGTGACCGCGTCACGGGCGCAGACCGGCGGGGCCACCGGCACCGCGCCGCGTGCCGATCGATCCCCCTCCGGTCCTGCCCGGGGCTTGCGGGCGTCGCGCGACGTGCCGCTGGCCGCGGGACAGGTGCGGGCCGCGCCACCACATGTGCGGAAAGCGGACGCTGGCCCCGGGCGGCCCGGCGGGCCTCTGGTGCGGGGCGGTCGAGGCCAAGGTCGCGGATGCAGCCCGCCGCCGGCCGGCCGGGCTGCGGCGGACCGGCCTGATGTGAGGGCTCGCCTGGCGCCGACGGTGCCGGCTGGGGGCCGGTACGCTGGAGTGGCTCCATATGTGGGGCGGCGGATGCTTGTTGTGTAGTGGTCTAAGCCAAGCCGTCGTGTGAAGTGAGACTGGGAGCGAGCGTGCACGGCCGGTGGGAGTGGAGACGTACTGTGCCGCAGCGAGGCTGTAGCGGAGACGTACTGTGCCACAGCGAGGCTGTAGTGGCACAGTGGCCGGGTCAGACCGCAGCCGGCTGGTCCGTGCCACTGGCGTACGGCAGCGTGAGCGCCCTGACCTCCTGCCGATGCCGTTGCAGTACAACTGTCAGCACATCATCCCGCTGGAGGAGGTGAAGCTGGAGTCGCTGGAGGATGAAGGCCAGTTCCGCAACGGCTGGCTGGTGCGCACGCTCACCAAGTCGTTCGCCGTGTACGCGGCCACCGCCGCCGAGAAGGCCGAGTGGATGGCACACATCAACAAATGCGTCGACGACCTGCTCAAGAAGAGTGAGTGTGGCGCGTGGGGGCTGGACGGTTGTCTTCGGACGCCCGGAAGCGGGTAAACCAGGTCACCCTCGACTGGTACATATGCGGCACCGGGTGACCTGTTGACATAGATACCTGTGGGACTTGCCTCGTGCCCGGACCGCTCGGGTATAATTGGCGTGATGTTGGCGTCAAAAGTAGCAGAACTTGTTTCACAAAAAGCGTGAAGCGTAGTCGTTGGGAGCATATTGCGGTGAGCGGCAGTGTGCTCAGAAACGCCTGGCAAGAAAGCCCACGGGCCGGTTGGATATATTGAGAGCAAGTTAATCAAATAGCTAGTGCTCTAATGTTTGTCGTACCTCTTCTAGTGCCTTCATATGTGCGACAAGCGTAATGTATGTACGTATTGCTTTTAGCCGTGCGTGTGCGGCTGTGTGCAAACGTCTGTGGGACGTCACTGCCTGATGTATTGTGTCCCGTCACGGGCCGGCATATTGTGCCCGTCACGGCCTGGTGTAGTGTGTCCCGCCACGGGCGGGTGTAGTGTGTCCCGTCACGGGCCGGTGTATTGTGTCCCGTCACGGCCTGGTTTAGTGTGTCCCGTCACTGCCTGGTGTACTGTGTCACGTCACGGCCTGGTTTAGTGTGTCTAGTGTGTCCCGTCACGGGCCGGTGTAGTGTGTCCCGTCACTGCCTGGTGTACTGTGTCACGTCACGGCCTGGTTTAGTGTGTCTAGTGTGTCCCGTCACGGCCTGGTGTACTGTGTCCCGTCACGGGCCGGTGTATTGTGTCCCGTCACGGCCTGGCTTAGTGTGTCCCGTCACTGCCTGGTGTACTGTGTCCCGTCACGGCCTGGTTTTGGTGTGTCTAGTGTGTCCCGTCACGGCCTGGTTTAGTGTGTCCGTCAGGGCCGGTGTAGTGTGTCCCGCCACGGCCTGGTGTAGTGTGTCCGTCACGGTGTGTAGTGTGTCCCGTCACGGCCTGGTGTAGGTGTCCCGTCACGGGCCGGTGTATTGTGTCCCGTCACGACTGGTTTAGTGTGTCTAGTGTGTTCCGTCACGGCCTGGTGTAGTGTGTCCCGTCACGGGCGGGTGTAGTGTGTCCCGTCACTGCCTGGTGTACTGTGTCCCGTCACGGCCTGGTTTAGTGTGTCTAGTGTGTCCGTCACGGCCTGGTGTAGTGTGTCCCGTCACGGGCCGGTGTGTAGTGTGTCCCGTCACGGCCTGGTGTAGTGTTCCCGTCACGGCCTGGTGTAGTGTGTCCCGTCACGGCCTGGGTGTAGTGTGTCCCGTCACGGGCCGGTGTATTGTGTCCGTCACGGCCTGGTGTAGTGGTCTAGTGTGTCCCGTCACGGCCTGGTGTAGTGTGTCCCGTCACGGGCCGGTGTATTGTGTCCCGTCACGGCCTGGTTTAGTGTGTCTAGTGTGTCCCGTCACGGCCTGGGTGTAGTGTGTCCCGTCACGGGCCGGTGTATTGTGTCCCGTCACGGCCTGGTTTAGTGTGTCCCGTCACGGCCTGGTGTAGTGTGTCTAGTGTGTCCCGTCACGGCCCTGGTGTAGTGTGTCCCGTCACGGGCCGGTGTATTGTGTCCCGTCACGGCCTGGTTTAGTGTGTCCCCGTCACGGCCTGGTTTAGTGTGTCCGTCACGGCCTGGTTTAGTGTGTCTAGTGTGTCCCGTCACGGCCTGGTGTAGTGTGTCCCGTCACGGCCTGGTGTATTGTGTCCCGTCACGGGCCGGTGTATTGTGTCCCGTCACGGCCTGGTTTAGTGTGTCCCGTCACTGCCTGGTGTACTGTGTCCCGTCACGGCCTGGTTTAGTGTGTCCCGTCACGGGCCGGTGTATTGTGTCCCGTCACGGCCTGGTTTAGTGTGTCTAGTGTGTCCCGTCACGGGCCGGTGTAGTGTGTCCCGTCACGGCCTGGTGTAGTGTGTCCCGTCACGGCCTGGTGTAGTGTGTCCCGTCACGGCCTGGTGTAGTGTGTCCCGTCACGGGCCGGTGTATTGTGTCCCGTCACGGCCTGGTTTAGTGTGTCCCGTCACTGCCTGGTGTACTGTGTCCCGTCACGGCCTGGTTTAGTGTGTCCCGTCACGGGCCGGTGTATTGTGTCCCGTCACGGCCTGGTTTAGTGTGTCTAATGTGTCCCGTCACGGCCTGGTGTAGTGTGTCTAGTGTGTCCCGTCACGGCCTGGTGTAGTGTGTCCCGTCACAGCCTGGTGTAGTGTGTCCCGTCACGGGCCGGTGTTATTGTGTCCCCGTCACGGCCTGGTTTAGTGTGTCCCGTCACGGTTCCCTGGTGTAGTGTGTCCCGTCACGGCCTGGTGTACTGTGTCCCGTCACGGGCCGGTGTATTGTGTCCCGTCACGGCCTGGTTTAGTGTGTCCCGTCACTGCCTGGTGTTACTGTGTCCGTCCCGTCACGGCCTGGTGTAGTGGTCTAGTGGTCCCGTCACGGCCTGGTGTAGTTGTCCCGTCACGGGCCGGTGTAGTGTGTCCCGTCACGGCCTGGTGTATGTGTCCCGTCACGGCCCTGTTGTAGTGTGTCCCGTCACGGGCCGGTTGTATTGTTCCCGTCACGGCCTGGTTTAGTGTGTCCCGTCACTGCCTGGTGTACTGTGTCCGTCACGCCTGTGTTTAGTGTGTCTAGTGTGTCCCGTCACGGGCCTGGTGTAGTGTTTCCCGTCACGGCCGGTGTATTGTGTCCCGTCACGGCCGGTTTAGTGTGGCTGTGTCCCGTCACGGCCTGGTGTAGTGTGTTCCCCGTCACGGGCCGATGTAGTGTGTCCTGTCACGTCGGTCGTGGTAGTGTGTCCCCGTCACTGGTCGGTGTAGTGTGTCCCGTCACGGGCGGGTGGAGTGTGTCCCGTCACGGCCGGGTGTAGTGTGTCCCGTCACGGGCCGGTGTTTGTTGTCCCGTCACGGGCGGGTGTGAGTGTCCCCGTCACGGCCTTGGTGTAGTGTGTCCCGTCACGGGCCGGTGTATTGTGTCCCGTCACGGCCTGGTTTAGTGTGTCTAGTGTGTTCCGTCACGGCCTGGTGTAGTGTGTCCCGTCACGGCCGATGTGTGTTTCTGTCACGGGTCGGTGTAGTGTGTCCCGTCACGGGTCGGTGTAGTGTGTCCCGTCACGGGCCGGGTGTAGTTGTCCCGTCACGGGCCGATGTAGTGTTCCTGTCACGGGCCGGTGTAGTGTGTCCCGTCACGGTCGGTGTAGTGTGTCCCGTCACGGGCGGTGTAGTGGTGTCCCGTCACGGGCGGGTGTAGTGTGCCCCATCACGGCCTGTGTAGTGTGTCCCGTCACGGGCCGGTGTGTGTGTCCCTCACGGGCGGTGTTGTGTCCCGTCACGGGCCGGTTGTAGTGTGTCCCGTCACGGGCCGGTGTATGTGGTCCCGTCACGGGCCGGTGTAGTGTGTCCCGTCACGGTCGGTGTAGTGTGTCCCGTCACGGCCTGGTGTAGTATGTCCCGTCACGGCGGGTGTAGTGTGTCCCGTCACGGGCGGGTGTAGTGTGTCCCGTCACGGGCCGGGTGTAGTGTGTCCCGTCACGGCCGGTGTATTGTGTCCCGTCACGGCCTGGTTTAGTGTGTCTATGTGTCCCGTCACGGCCTGGTGTAGTGTGTCCCTCACGGCCTGTGTAGTGTGTCCCGTCACGGGCCGATGTAGTGTGTCCTGTCACGGTCGTGTATGTGTCCCTCACGGATCGGTGTAGTGTGTCCCGTCACGGCCTGGTGTAGTGTGTCCCGTCACGGGCCGATGTAGTTGTCCTGTCACGGCCGGTTGTAGTGTCCCGTCACGGTCGGTGTAGTGTGTCCCTCACGGGCGGTGTAGTGTGCCCCATCACGGCCTGGTGTAGTGTGTCCCGTCACGGGCGGTGTAGTGTGTCCCGTCACGGCCTGGTGTAGTGTGTCCCGTCACGGGCGGGTGTAGTGTGCCCCGTCACGGCCTGGTGTATGTCCCGTCACGGGCGGGTGTAGTGTGTCCCGTCACGGGCGGGTGTAGTGTGCCCCATCACGGCCTGGTGTATGTCCCGTCACGTCGGTGTAGTGTGTCCCGTCACGGGCCGGTGTAGTGTGTCCCGTCACGGGCGGGTGTAGTGTGCCCATCACGGACTGGTGCAGTGTGTCCCCCGTCACGGGTCGGTGTAGTGTGTCCGTCACGGCCTGGTGTAGTGGTTGTCCCGTCACGGGCGGGTGTAGTGTGTCCTGTCACGGGCGGGTGTAGTTACGTCCCGTCAGGTGCCGGTGTAGTGTGTCCCGTCATGGGCCAGTATGGGTTGTAGTTCGGTGCGTGACGCCGACTCGGCGCCGCCGCCTTCGCCAGGCGGTAAGCTGGGGGCCACCGACCACGCGGCCGTCTGGGTGCCCGACACGGAGGCCAGCGGCTGCATGCACTGCAAGAAGAGCCAGTTCACGTTGATCAGATCAACCGCGCACCACTGCAGGTCAGAGATGGCGCCACCGCGCTGGCCAGCCGGCCTCCTCGCCGTGGTATTGAGTGTGCTCAGCGCAGGCTGTCGCTTTTCTCCCAACTGTGACCGTACGGCGGTGAAGACTTGAGTGTGATTGCGTCGTCTACCGGTTAGTTCACATTGTGACTTAATATGGACACTCGCAAAGTCCACGCTCGGCTGTTGTGGTTCACCTCACCCCTGTCTTGCCCGTGGGCTTATATATGCACTCGGCTGGCAAGGCTATATGGCGTTGCCTTCCCCTTGTGGCTATGGCGGGCGGCGTGCTGCCTTCCCAGTCATTGGATCGGTTGGCCTGGTCAGTCCGGCGCCGACGCCTGACCGCCCGGCGTCTGTCACCAGAAATGCGGCAAGGTCGTGTGCGGCCCGTGCTCCAACAGAAGTGGGTGCTACCCAGCCAGTCGTCCAAGCCGCTGCGAGTCTGCCTCAGCTGCTATGATGAGCTGAGCCGCGCCAAGACGGACGACAGCCGACCTGGGCGACAACAGAGGTAGGCGCAACACCTCTGGGCCAACAGGGGTATCGTGATGATGTGGGGAGGGGGGGGGGGGCGTACG